ATCCTCCATCCCAGGTAGGGCACAAGGAAGAAAAAAAGAGTCAAGAAGAGAAGAAACGCCGTGTTAAATCGCTAGCGTGATAATTTTGTCTTTATTAGCAGTAACACAAAGTCGTCTTCAATGTCGGGAATATACAATCATAGGCAGATTACACCAGGAGGAGCAGGAGGGTCGAACCGTTTCAACGAGCTCTTGGAAGCTTTGAAGCAAGAATATGACAGTCTCCAACAGGAAGCCATGGCTTATAAAATGCAACGTGAAGAATTCGAACATAAAGGTACTCAATTGTCATTGATTTTGTGAACACAATCCATTCGTCCGCGTGAGTTACCGAAACCCCGTCTTGAGAAATTCATACGATGTCGAAATACAATCGTGTACTACGTAATATGGTGTTGTTGGCCGGTGTCATTGTACTTCGGTTATCGATGCTCTGCAATTTTATCACGCGTCAACTCAATCGTAAATAATACATGTTTTGTAGATGATAACTAAGCTAAATATATTTTACCCAATCTATTTTTCTTTTATTTACAGTACAGCAACAGACCGACGAAGTCAGCATGATCCGTCAGGGTTTATACGAATTGCAGAACACCCAAAAAAACATAAAACAACAGTGAGTATATATGATTCTCGTGTATTGTGCTTTTCGGCAGCGGGACACGTTATTTTTGGGTATTTAATGGTTTCACGAATATTGTAGATATGATGCGGAGATACGTAATCTTCAACGTGAAATCGAACAACAAAGGTTACATGCTCATCCTTCTTCCAGCACTCACCCTCAGCCGCCACCCTCGCACCCCCCGCCGCAGCCTCCTCCACCAGCCATTGGTCAAGGTCAAAGTAATCTTTTCGGCACTATCATCAGTGGCAATGGCCCTCAAAGCCTTGTCGCACCTCCTCAGATGTTGGATCCTGCGCAGTCTGCGAACCAACAGGGACATCCATATCCCGGTCCGGGGGGTCCCCCTCAAAGTGTTCCACAATCTGGCGGTAGCACTGCTCCATCTCCATATCTTAATGGTGGTGGTCCACCGGGTCAATCACACACAACAAAGAGGCCACGCATAGGCATAGATGATGGCTTGCCACAAGGTCCGCAAGCTCCTATTGGAATTCCTCCAAATACGCAGCAATCTCCAGCCGGACTGTACGGCAGCAACGTTGTTCCTCCTCCTCAACCTGGTCAACAAGGACCTCCCTTGAATCCGGGATATGCTCCGTCTGTTGGTCAAAGTAATAAACCCGTTAATAAAACAAAGGTACGTTAAAATGTGTTAGTCGTAGAATAGAAAAACTATTTATCACCGTTACCACACGCCTCAAAAACCTGGTGCGGAGATACTGGTCGGGTCTTCTTGATCTCGCACAGCCTCAGGGTCTGTATATCTTAGTTACAATATTATGGCTTACAGCCCGGAAATTTGATATCACAGATTGGAGGCCCTGATGGACCACAGAGTTCTGGAGTTCCTACCAACGGTAATGCTCCATTACCAGGTCTACCTCCCAAACGGAAAAATAATCAAAACATGAACACTCAATTAGCTGGTTCTCGCCTCCCTTTAAAGCAAAGTACAATTAGTGGTGCCGGAAACTCCGGCCTAAGTGACATGGATCCAGAAAGTGTACCACCCCAACTTAAGAAAGAAGGAACCGATTGGTTCGCGATGTACGGATTGGTTATTATTTTGATTTTTCATTTGGAATATTTTAAGTTATGTGATCATGTTTTAATCGATGTTCTTCTGAACACAGTTTCAACCCTAAAGTACAACGAACACTCGACGTAGAATTGCTTCATACATTGGAGCATAACAGGTAAAATTCACACCAAAATTATTTTAAACCTTATTTTTTTTTCTCACGCTCCCAACTAATCCTTATCTTTTTTTTTTTTTAGTGTCGTATGCTGCGTCAAATTTAGTGCGGACGGAAAGCAACTTGCCACCGGCTGTAACCGAAGTGCCCAGATCTACGATGTTTCAAATGCTCAAAAAATATGGTATAATTTTTATTGATCTATATTTACTTCTTAAATAATTGAATTGAACCAAAGAGTTTTTCTTAGTGTTTTGGATGACACCAACGTGGATAAAACTGGAGACTTGTACATTAGAAGTGTTTGTTTTAGTCCGGATGGTCTATGTTTAGCAACAGGCGCTGAGGATAAACAGATTAGGGTAAGAGAAAATATGTGTGAAAACATTGTTATCGATTGGTTATAGAGTGTATTGAGAGGTATAACCGGTTGTTGTATCGAATAGTAATTATGATTTGTATAATTAAGATCTGGGATATTAAAGATCGAACGATTCGGCATGTTTTCACTGGTCACGAACAAGATAT